ATGTTCTATGTCTGACTCATGAAGAAAGGAAGCTTCAAAGTGAAAAAGGGAAAATCCAATTTCTCTCTAAGTACAATAACCATTAATATAGTTCAGCCATGTGACACCCATACTCCAAAGTTTCCAAGTATAATACCCAGAAGAATTCAGAGTTCAAGGATGTGCCTGCCAGTGAAATAATTTTTAAAAAATTATTTATTATAGATCTTTTTATAAGGAAATTTAAATAATGTGTTGAGAATAGATAGTCTTTATAATGTCTCTGAGAGGGACAAAAGGAAGAGATGATTATTACTTTTTTCATCTAGATAAAATTTATTGAACCCTTTGTTTATGGCTCTGAACTTAATGTTTCAGTTATTGTTTCTACTCTTTAGAAGACTTTTTTTTCATTGATAGAATAGGAATAAAAGTAAAATAAGCAAAAATAGAGTTAATCTCTGGATTCTAATATTCCAGTCCTCTACTAACTAATTATGTGAAATTTATTCTTTTATGTGAGAGTGTATGTATACTTGCATGCATGCATATATTTACCCCTTCTCCAGTATCCTAATGCTCTGTTCTAAGTTGTGTAGTTGGTGTCTCACAATACATATAGTTTTCATTTCTTTTTTTCCTAGGCAAAATGTCCAGTGATCGAGCTTTGAGGAAACAGCAACAGTTAAACAACCTTGTTTATGTGGTGATAAAACAGGCCAAACCTGGTGACAGAATTGTGGATTTCTGCAGTGGTGGGGTATTATATGTCTCCTTTTATACTTTTTAGCTTTTCCAAGAGTGTGTGACTTTTCTGTATTACACTTAAGGTCATGTTTTCATTTGGCAAGATTGTTGTCTTACAATGAGCAAAAGACATAAGGACCAAAATTAACTTGGTTCTTTTACTGACTTTTCCAGGGCCATGTTGGAATTGTTCTTGCTCACATATTGCCATCCTGCCAGGTAAAGTCTGAATAATATATAAAAAAAAATGTTTAAGATAAACACAATTCAACTAGCCAAGTCTGGCTTATCCCTTACTCAGAATTCCTAATCATTCACCCTAATCAAATATGTGACACAGGCATTTTCTTTTTTCTTTGAAGTAAACTTCTAAGATTTAGAA